TGGGGGTGGGCAGGGAATATTCCACCGGGCAGTGGGGCGGAAGGGGTTTAAGAAAAAAAAAAGAAAAAAAAAAAAAAGAAACAGTGGCATAAAGCACCAACTGGCCCGGTATAGGCTTAGGAGTAGTGTTAGGTAGATAATGAAAGGTGAAACTGAGAGAAGAATATAGCTTGCTTCTGGGTGGGGATCCGGGCCACCCGGCTGACTGGCGGGGGCCCGGGGGAGGTCCCGGGCGGCCTGGCCGGGCAGAGCACCCGGTTTGGGGCCGGGTCCCCCCAGCCCACTCACCTGTCTGGGAGTCTCGGACCCCCTTTTCACTGATTTTGGCCTCCCGCAGGCCTACCAGGTCTGACAGGCCCGAAAAACCGTCCCGAGTGTCCGGTAGGCCTGCGGGATTTTTGAAAATGCGACGGCTCTGTGGCCGTCGATCCACCATGATCAACGGCCACAGAGCCCGTGGATCTTCGTGCCAGCCTTCCCCCCCGATTCAAACCTCCAATCGGCTGGGGTGGTCTGCCACTCGCCCCCCACCACGATCGGAGCTGGTGCTGGGCTGCTGCTGCGAGGTTCACCGTTGCCCGTCGAAGATCGCCGTCACCCGTCGCCTGCTGCTGTGCCGTCGCCCGTCGCCCGTCGCCCGTCGCCCGTCGCCCGTCGCCCGACCTGCTGATGGCGCCGTCGCCCATCGCCCACCATCGTCTTCCCCTCTTTTTCTTCTTCTTCTTCTTCTTGTAGGTCGTCGACCTTCAGTAGGTTATGTGAGACGCGACAGGTAAAAAAACAAAAAAACAAAGCCGTCCTCCTCCCCCTCCTTCTCCGCTCATCTTCTTGTTCTTCTTGTTCTTCTTGTTCTTCTTCTTGTTCTTCTTCTTCTTCTTCTTCTTCTTCTTCTTCTTCCCCACTCGTTTTCTTTGTCCTCCTCCTCTTCTTCTTCTTCTTCTTCTTCTTCTTCTAGTTCTTCGACATTCGGTAGGTCATGTGAGACGCGACTGGTTAAAAAAAAAAAAAAAAACAAGGCCGTCCTCCTCCCCCTCCTTCTCTGCTCATCTTCTTCTTCTTCTCCTTCTTCTTCTCCTTCTGCTCTCCTCATCGTCCTCTCGTCTTCTTCTTCTTCCCCTCCTTCCCCTCGTGTTTTCATCTTTCTCGTCAACCTTTCTTGATCTTCTTCTTCTTCCCCTCCTCACCTCTCTTCTTCTTTTTCTTCTTCTTCTTCTTCTTCTTCTTCTTCTTCTTCTTCTTCTTCTTCTGCTCCATTCGCTAGGTCTTCTTCTCTCCTCTTCTTCTTCCCCTCCTCCCCTACTCCATCCCTGCCGTTCTCCATCCTTCCGTCCATCCATCCCATCTCGCCATCCTCCATCATCCATCATCCATCCATCCATCACTCCCTCCATCCCATCTCGCCATTCTCAATCCTCCATCAGCCATCCGTCCCTCCCTCCATCCCATCTCGCCATCCTCCATCCATCCATCACTCACTACCTCCATCCCTCCTCCCTCCATCCCATCTCGCTATCCCTCCCTCCCTCCCATCTCGCCATCCCTCCCCCCCTCCATTCGTCAATCCATCTTCTTCTTCTTCTTCTTCTTCTTCTTCTTCTTCTTCTTCTTCTTCTTCTTCTGCTTCTTCTTCTTCTGCTTCTTCTTCTTGAACGTTGTTAAGCAGTCTCCCTCCATCACTCCCTCCATCACTCCCTCCATCCCATCTCGCCATTCTCCATCCTCCATCATCGATCCCTCCCTCCCTCCATCCCATCTCACCATCCTCCATCATCCATCCATCCGTCGCTCACTACCTCCATCCCTCCCTCCATCCCATCTCGCCATCCCTCCCTCCCTCCCATCTCGCCATCCCTCCCTCCTCCCATCTCGCCATCCCTTCCCCCCCTCCATTCGTCAATCCATCTTCTTCTTCTTCTTCTTCTTCTTCTTCTTCTTCTTCTTCTTCTTGAACGTCGTTTAAGCAGTCTCCCTCCATCACTCCCTCCATCCCATCTCGCCATTCTCCATCCTCCATCCTCCATCCTTCCCTCCCTCCATCCCATCTTGCCATTCTCCATCCTCTACCATCCCTCCCTCCCTCCCTCCATCCCATCTCGCCATCCTCCATCATCCATCATCCATCCATCCATCGCTCACTACCTCCATCCCTCCCTCCATCCCATCTCGCCATCCCTCCCCCCCCTCCATTCGTCAATCCATCTTCTTCGTCTTCTTCTTCTTGAACGTTGTTAAGCAGTCTCCATCCCCAACCTCAGACCACCCCCCCCAAAAAAAACCAAAATTTTATTGCGGATTCGGGGTCCTCTCGCCGAGCGCAGAACGACCCCAGTTTCAAAAAAAAAAAAAAAAAAATTATGGGCGGTATTTTGGCCCGCCCAGTTTACCCGGGCGGGCCCCCCGGGCCCGACCGGACGGGCGGTGTCCTCACTCATGCTTACTTAAAAAAAAAGAAAAAAGAACTAGTAAAGTACCAACTGGCCTAGCTCAGTTGTTATACCCATGAACTTATACCCATGTAACTGTTGAAAAACAGACCCGAATTCGAATTCCAGTGCGACCGGACGAATGTAAAATTTGCTAGTACTTCATCTATTGTTTTTTTAGCACTTCGTTGCGGGAGAGTAGCAATTTACTAATTGTTGGTATTTTGCCGACCGTTAGTAACTGTTAGAATTGTTGCCGCTTTTAGTTATTTGTTCTCTGCACCTCATGAAGTCCCGGACTATAGAATGGCCGAGGGTTTGTTATTTGAAAAGACCAACGTGCACAATAGGCTTTGTGTTCCGAACAATGAGGAGATCCGCAGTTTAAACGGCAAGTGCACGCCCCAGCCTTGCAGAACGTTTTTGTCGCCACAAGCAAAACTCGGAGGGGCTGCGCGGCGTGGGGCGCTGTTGAAAAAAAAAAATCGGTGGTCTCCGAAGTGGTGCGGGTTTCGTGCTGACACCCCCGGGCCGATGTGTGGTGTACTGGTGCTTTAGTCCTAGGGGAATGCCACGATAGTCAGGGCCAGTTCGGTTGGAGGAAGACATGCGCTAATCTCCTCCAGTACTACACGTGGGTCGGAATGAAATATGATTGTATTTAATTACATACATCCAAGGCTGCAAAGTGTGCCAACGGAACAAGAGTTTCACGCAGCCTCCCCTTGGACTGTTAAAACCGTTGCCTATCCCATCAGGCCCAAGAGACTCCGTGTCTACAGACTTCATGGACACTAAGGTTAAGAGTAGGAACGGGAAGAGTTAGTTTATGGTTGTCGTTGATAGGTTTAGCAAATTTGCTGTTTCTATTCCGCTGCCTGCAGAGGCGAAGACCCACTTAGTCATTAGTGAGTTCTACGGGTCACGCATTGACTATGTCATCAGGCAGGCACCCAGAGACAAACGGACAAACCGAGCAGATGAATACGTTGCTACAACAAGTGTTGCGTATGTACATTAGACCAGACCAGCTTAATTGGGACGCGTGTACATACCAGCTTAATTGGGACGCGCATCTTCGTCCCAAACTGGCATGTGTGTACATTGTAGAACAACTCTATGCATTTGGCCACATCACGCACTGCACAAAGGTTGGCGTCTCTGGCGTCCGATCGACTGCTGTCTAAACCCGGACCAAGTTCAGAGACTGCTACCCGGTGCAAGGGCAAATTCAAAATTTGCTATACAGTACGAAAAGGATCTTGAACGAGTAAAGGAAAACATTCGGAAGGCCCAACACCAAATGGTAGAGAAAGCTAACAAACACCGCAAACAATCTCCGTTTGCTGTCAGTGATTTGGTATGGGTTAAGTCCAAGGAGTTCATTCCGGAGAAGCGGATATTGCAGGAAGTTGCTGCCCACATATGAAGGACCATGGCAGATTCTTGATGTCATTGGCGATGCAGATGGTCCCTCCTAGATTCCACTGCATCTGCACACTTACCCGGTCTTCCATGCTTCCAAGTTGCTTCCCTGTGTCGCTAACGATCAGTTCCCCTTGCGAAGGTCTATCATACCACCCGACATGGATGGCAAAAAATGCGATGTAGACCATATTGTCGCAAGAGACACATATAGAACAGGACGCAGATTGAGACCACAACATCAGTACAAGGTCAGATGTGCTAACCAAGAACCTAAAGAAGTCCGCTGGTTTACAAGGGATGAGCTAATCATAGAGACTGCTCCACACACAGTTTCCTATTATGGGAGGGCACGCAGAGGAGTTAACATTGTCGATCGGTAAAGTTAGCAACTTTCTCGCCGGACCTCCAAATTAGGCTGGCGGGAGTGAAAGGACTTCACGTTGCAGATACCCAGGTCCCGGTTCCAGGGTCCCAGTTGGGGCCAGTCCCAGACCGTCCCAGTCCCATCTGTCCCAGTAGGTGAGTCTTAGAAAGGGTCGCGTTAGGGTCCTTAGGTCCATAGGAAGCTGAAATGTTGTAAGTTGATGCCGGGCCGGTACCGTACAGGCAGACGGTAAAAGTCCAACCGGTACCCGACAAGAAAAGTCCAGGCCCGAAGTCCAATTTTGCAGCAGCGTCGCAGGAAAAGTCCGGAAGGTACCGGGCTGCCAGAATTCACGCAGCAGACAGGCCACGGACGACCGGTACCGGTCAGAAGCAAACCAAGGCCAAGTCAAGCAACTATTAATAGCTGCTGCTACAGTGCAGCTCACATCATCCATTGTGCTGTGTGAGTTGAGGAAGCGCGCTGCTTGTTGCTTGTGCGACCTCACAGCTTGGGCTGTGTGCCAGAGGGCCTGCTTGGCGGCACACCAGTTAGGGTTGAGGAAGGAGAAGGCGGCCATAGCAGCCATAGCTGAAATTGCAGTTGAAGTAGAGCGGATGTATCCAGGGTTACGATCCAAGTAGTTGCACACACAGAGAGAGAGAGAGAGAGAGAGAGAGAGAGAGAGAGAGAGAGAGAGAGAGAGAGAGAGAGAGAGAGAAGTATTGAGAGAGCAATCGAAGAGAGAAGAAAGAGAGGAGGGATACGAAGAGAGAAGAAAGAGAGGAGGGAAAGGGAGCCGCAGGGGAGGAGACTCGAGTAGCTACCTGATTGAAGTTGTTGTGGTTGCATTCGCTGATGAGCGCTCGCTATCTGAATTCTGAATTTGTATAATGTGACTATTCATGGAATTTTCATGGCAGTTTCTGAGCTGTGCTGATTCGGTGTCCCATATCTAGCTTTGGTGTGAATCTTTGTGTGAGCTTTCATTCTGCATGTTTTGTGGAGAGAACCTGAGCGGATCATTTCAGATTTCAGACTGGTAGATGGTCATCGAACTGTACTCGTAAGAACTACCTTCTTCCCCCGAATACAATGTACGGTCATTATATCTGTATTTGGCATATCTTTCAGTCTAAATACAGCTATAATGACCGTACGTTGTATTCGGGGGAAGAAGGTACCAGCAACAACGACAAAAGAATATAACGTGCAGGGAAGGGGGGGGAGGGGACTTAAGCCACCAGTACTTCCGGGGCACTTTTCTCCGGGGCTGGGAACGCCTTGCACGCCAAAAGAAAACACGAACCGGCACACACCTCCTCCTTTTGCCTGGCTCCGCCAGCCTTTTCGCTCCGGAGGATGAGCCCCGAAAGTTGCAGCCGCATGCAAGCCGTATATTTTATTTTTTGGCCTGCAAACGTACTGGTGGCAGTCCTTTTGAACCTAGATTGATGAAAATATTTTTTATACGTAAAATAATAAAAAATATGAAACTCCGACAAAACAGTTTGTCACAGCCCCTCGTTCGTTGTCCTTTTCCTCTTCTCCTTTTCCTCTTCTCCCTCCCTCTCTGCCTACGGTTTATCGGGCAGCTCTGCTCTGTTTGATGATATATATAAGAAAGTTCAAAGAAACATCACCAGTCCATTTTAAGCTAAATTGATGAACCGAAAAAAAATGCATTTTGCCGAGCCTAAAACTGACCGGTACTTGCTGTTGGAAAAACCAACACGGTACCGGCGGTTGGCATCCAATACCGACATGAAAAAAAAAAAAAAAAAAAAAAAAAAAAAACCAGACATTTTGGGCCCGAAGTTACCGTTCATTCGTTGCTCTAACGGCCCCGGGCTTTTCAGGGGCCTCGTCCCACCAGCAGCGTTGAGTTTCCTCAACTCCCGAATCTGGACATGTTTTAGTGGAGACGTGCGGTTGAGGAAACGCAACGCGTTTTCTGTACATCTCCACAAACACATCTAGATTCGTCCATTGAGGAAACTCAACGCTGCTGGTGGGACAAGGCCCCACCCAGTACTCGTATTACAAAACCGGATGAACAGTAACAGTAACTTCGGATGGACCGGTGGTTGAAAAAAAAGAAAAGAAAAAAAAGAAAAGAAAAAAAAGATAATAACTGGAAAAAAAGGACAGTTTTCCGAAACTTTGCCGTCCACTCTTTCGAGACTGTTGACTTACCACCGCTGAACATGTTGAAAGCCCGGCGCCAGTGATCCTCACATCTGCAAAATACAAAGAAACACAGTTTAACACACAGATCAAGAAATTTGTCAAAACCTGGGCTACCAGCCGGGGCCTCCCAGGTGACCCTATTTTACTGGGCGGCCCGGCCGTGCAAGGACCAGGGAAGGTCTTAGCAAAAAAAAAAAAAACAAAAAAAAAAACAGGTTCAAAAAAGTTGAAAAAACTTCAAAAACGTAAAAAAAAACTATGTTATGCAGAAAAATAAACTGAACAACTTTTGCCTCTGGGTCACATCGACATTCTTTATCAAATTTGATTTTTTTATTTTTTTATTTTTTTTTGGGCCTGGCCGGGGCAATCGGTCCCGGGCCACTCTGGTAGCCTAGGTCAAAAGACTCAAGAGTCAAAACTTCAAAGTTTGTTTACGATTGTACGTCGTCAATTTCCTTGTCGTTTGACTGGCAGAGGACGCACTCTGCGTGTGTACGTTCTGCGTGTATGCGTGTGTGTTGCTTTTCCTTATGACACAAAGTTTGTTTGGGAAAAACCTATCAACAGGCTGCCGACACCAGCCCAGCTTTTTTATTATTTTTTTTTTTTTTGGTGGGAAAAACCAGTCCCACGGCTAGGAGAGGTGATAAGAGCACCCCCGCCTCGCGCGCTTCCTGGATGCTCCGGTCTATTGGTGGGGAGCAACACCTGCAGTCTAGGTCAGTTGCTTTTGCACGCAAAATTCGCAAATGGCATTCAGGAGATTGTGGGTTCACTCCCCCACACTGAGACATGTTTGAGATAGTTGGCTTGCCTCCCCCCTGGTCGTCCTCGTTCGGGTCCTGGGTTTCTCTCCGACGGCCTTCGCCCCTGCCATTCCCCCCCCCCCTGGGGGTTAGCTCCTAGGTCTAATGGACCTTGGCAGCAATTAGAAATGAAGGTAGGTTGCATGAAGTATAATTGAGAGAAAAATAGAGCTTAGTTGGAAAAAAAAAAAAAAAAAAAAAAAAAAAACACACTATCAATGGGCCTAGCTCAGTTGTGGCTGTGTTCCACGACTTGACTTTTTTTTTTTTTTTTTTTTCAAACGCCCCCACCAGTGTTAGTGGTGCTGATAAGAGCAGACACTGACTCTGTGTATTACACTGTGTGTATTTCACTCTGTGTGTCGTATTGCGCAATATCTGAATGCTTTCGAGCTCGGTTGGTGCATTCCCATGGACTGTTGAAATACAGACCTCTTTATTTTTTATTATTATTTTTTTAATTTAAACACAACAACCCCCTCCAGTGCTAGTGGTGCCGATAAGAGCAGACACCGCTAGCACCTAGGTGGAGGCTCCGTCTATTGGTGGGGAGAAGCGGTTAATGGAAGGCCCAAATTTTGGCGAATTTTGGCGAAATTTTCACCGAGACGGCGAGACTGCCATATTTTCCTGAATTTTTACTTTTTTCTTGGTTTTTCTTTTTGCTTTATACGTATGTGCTTTAGGGTATATATCTGCTGGAAAACGGGACCAACGAACAGACCTCAGTTCGAATCCAGACGGAACCAGAATGACCACAAATATTTCTGAATTAACAGGCCCTTGCCATTTTTTCCCCTTTCCTCAAGTCTACGCCCTCCGGCCTGGGTTAAACCCACCCTGGCTGAGTCACACCATACTTAACAGTGTTAACAGTAATTAACATCACCCTAATTATTTCTAATTAACGTAGGTAACCCCAACACTAAATCACAAACCAACTAGTGTCTCATAAACTTTGACGGTTTAACCGCCCAAGTCGGAACCCTGGAGTAATACATGATTATCATCAGTCCGAGACTCCGAGCATATCAAGCGCATCCGTGAACATAACCAAAACATAATTATTAATTACCAAAGCCCAAGACCACAACCAGTAATCATCAAACGAAAAAAACACAAAACTTGCCAACCAAATAAAAACAGCAATTTCTGTCGGAAAGATCTCTCTCTCTCTCTGTGTCTGTCTGTCTGTCTGTCTGTCTGTCTGTCTCTCTCTCTCTCTCTCTCTCTCTCTCTCTCTCTCTCTCTCTCTCTCTCTCTCTCTCTCTCTCTCTCTCTCTCTCTCGCGTGCGCGCGCGCGTCAAGGGCACGTGCTCTGCTAAAATAAAACCAAGTACCACAATAGAGCTCTCAAAGAAGGAAATGGCAAGCCAACTTCGTCCGTGGGAAAAATGCCATTTAGCAACCCGATGCTCAAGCGATTCGTTGTAGGGACCAATTTTTTTGACAGGTGCACTCTTTTTTCTCTTTTTTTTTTTTTTTTTTTTGACAGCTGCATCCATTCAAATTGGAGCGGTATAGAGACGATAAGCATGGCCCCTGCACATGGGGGTAAAGAAAAAGGGAAAAAAAAAGAGAGGCGAGCTGCATATAATATGATAGTGCATATAAAATGTTTTTGAACTTTTTTCTAAGCCAGTGCTGAGTCTACTGACTTTTTGCGCCAGCATGGCATATTAAATGCGACTTCGCCAGCATGGCACTCGTATTCAGTTCAATCACTTCAATGTTATACAGCGCCTGACTCTTTGCGCGTACTCAAGAAGATGGCCAGCTTCTTGTGTACCATCTCACTCTCCTTCTCCCTTCTCCCTTCCCTCCTTCTCCCTCTCCATAGTATGCTTCTGCCTCTGCTTTCGCTTCCTTTAAAATTTGTAGTATTTGTACCCGTATCGTACGCACTACAATGTTCCCACCATAGCTAGCTGCTGGAAATTTTGGCAGGAAAGTACCCCAGTAAACCCAACCTAAAACTGCCATTACTCTCGGAAAAAAAAAAAAAAAAAAAAACCCTGCCACTACTGAACTGGTGCCCCCCAGAATAGAAGAGGCTGTGTTGTGTTAAAAAAAAAAAACAGGACTACGGTCAGTAGCTCGCCGAGGCAAACTTGCCTCTCTTTATTTCTTTTGCCTTGCTTCGAAAAATTTTCGTAATTCGTTGCCGTTCTTAGGTGAGAGTTTGTGTTGTTTTTTAGGCCTCGATGTTTCGCTGGTCGCTTTGAAAAATTATGGGAGCATTTTCTATCTGTTTGTTCGACTTTGTTGCGTCCCATAATTTTGTTTTCTGAAGTAGGGAGCCTTGGTAGGTTTTTTTTTTTTTTTTTTTTTTCTT